AGTACTGAGAAGCAATGATGTCTGTCTAGTGACTGAGGTGCACCTGACCCAAGCAGAGAACTGGCCAATGGTTAAGGATGACAGAAGAAGAATTGATGGCTTTGAATTGTGGTTCTGAGTCTTGAACATGGACCATCAAGAAAAAAAAAAAAAGGTCTGTTTTGGAGAGGGTGAAACCAAATTTCTCCTTGGAGGGTAGGATTTTGAAGCTCCATCTCATTTTGGGCATGTGGCCAGGAGGGACTAATCCCTGGAGAAAGACATCATGCTTGGAAGGATGGAGGAACAACACAGGAGAGGAAGCCCCCAGATGATATGGATTGATACAGTAAAAGGGGCAATGGAAGTAGGTGTGTCAGAGTCAGTGAGATTGGCTCAGGACAGGGCAGGCTTCGGAGCTGTTGTACATAGTGTCACTATGAGTTGTAGGCAACTCAGTGACACATAATAACAACAATATAGAAACCCTATGAATGACAGATTGAAACCTTGCCCTATCCTGTGCTTCAGCCCAATGCTATAGGCACTGTGTCAATCCATTCTGTTGAAGATTATTTAAAAATGCTAGAGCAGTACATCAATGGAGAACTGCCAATAATCAAGCTGGATTCAGAAGAGATAGTGGAACTGTCTAAACAGTTCACTTTTCAGATAGATCTTGGTTGAAAGCAAAGAATACCAGAAAGACGTTTATTTGCATTTTGTTGGCAATAAAAAGGCATTGAACTATGTGGATCATGTCAAATTATATTGATTTTGTGTATTGTCAAGTCAGAACTGATTAACAGCAGGCCCTCCAGCAGGTTTTCAGAGGCAGTAAATTGTACAGGAGATGATAGCCCATCTTTCTCCCATAGAACAACTGGTGGATTCAAACCACATTCCTTTAGGTTGGCAGTACAACTCCTTACCACTAAACCACCAGAACTCTCTATGACATGATAGATAACACTGAAAAAATGGTTGGGGGTAATTTAATACAATAAAGAAGAAGAAAACAGAATGGGAATTTCAAGTGCACTGAGACTGTGGCCAGCCAGTGGAAGGATCCCACACATGCGTGTGGCAAGAGAGTACACTTCTGGCCATTTTGAAAATTATCTTCAGCAGGATTTTTCTTGCAGAATAAGACAAAAGATGGGTAGACCCAAGCATCATGTGGAGCTCACTGCCTCACAGCCTGCCTTCAGACAACCTTGATTTGAGTCATGGTTCTACTGTATTGATTACTTTCTCAACTTTGAGCAGGTCTGTTCAACACTCTGAAAGCCCCTTCTCCACTTGTGGAAGGGAAAAGTAATAATACCTACTTCAAGTTACAGTTAGACCACTTGGCAGAGAGGAAGGGAGCAATGATGGTGGCACTAGAGCTAGAAGTGCTGTCCCTGGCCCATGGTCTCTGGCAAGGTATAAAGTCCAGACTTCAGAAGAGCTTTGAGGGTTAGGAGAAGAGCCATCAGGCCCCTGGGGAGTGCCATTCAGCCAAAGGGGAGAGTCACTGGCCCCTGGGGAATGCCGTCCAGTTCCTGGGGAAAGATGTCTGATGTTTATGAGGCACTTTATCTAAGCCACTTTCCTCCATCTCCTCCTCCAGTATACCTGTAAGTAACACCTCCAAAGCCCTTCTCTTTGTAACTCACAAGTTTGTTCTTTCTAGGCTTGCTCCCTTTCTTATAGGTAACCTGAACACTGAGTCGTGTTCCAGAACCTCAACCCTGAGCCTGGTTCCAGAGACAAAAGGGAAATATAACTGCCAGCTAAGGAAGCAAAGGTGGATGGAGCCTCAAAGTTCAGTCAGCATCTCCCACTGTACTCACTCATGCAAACACTTTGCAGTCCAGAGGGCAGAAAATGTCATGAAAATATCTCCTAACTGAATAAGACTGCATGCAGCTTCAACTCACGAACACCAGTAAAGTGTTAATGTGGGCTCCCCTTCCCCTTCATCTCAGTACCGCTGTTCAGCATGAAGCAGCCAGAGTCTGTGCCTCTATTCTCAAATGGAAAACCTACAAATTCAAAAGACAATATCTTTGTAAAAAAAAAAAAACAAACAATCACCGTTAGACTATGCCCACAATTATCCTGTCTTTTCTAGTCCCTGCTGGATATTTCTCATTTCCTTTACCCACTCCTTCCACCCACCAAATTGTGCAGCCCTGTGATTTTATCCCTATCCATCCTCACACTCTGCTCCCACTCCTTAACCTTTTCCCTTTGGATTCCCACACATGTTTTTGTTTTGTTTTATTTTTTGGTGTGTGTGTGTGTGTGTGTGTGTGTGTGTGTGTACCATCAAATCAGATCTGACTGGTACTGGAGGAGATTGCCCCTCCTTCTCCAGCAAAGCATCTGGTGGATTCGAACCATGTACCTCTGGGATTACAGTGCAGCTTCTTGCCACTAGAGTTCCCCACACATGTTTTATAAAATAAGAAAAATAATACTTTTTTTTTTTTAAAAGTATGGGATGCCTCTGTTGTAAAACAGGACTGACATCGGGCTTGGGGGGGAGACTGAGTGAGATAGAAGTCCTCCTCTAATGAGGTGTACTGAAGCAGTGATTACAGCAGTAAGCTTAAGAACACTGGAGATTTTAAGGATGATGAAGAAAGGGGCAAGATTTACGTCTGTTGACTAGATGGCACCTAAAAACCTGGAAGAAGTACTCTTCTGCAATTGTACCATGAATGCTCTTGTTATCAGTAACATTTTCACTTCATCTTTTCAGAAGAAAATGCCAAATCTGAAGGTTTGGCTGAATAATGTTTGGTTGTGGTTATTGTTAGGTGCCATTGAGTGGAGCACAAGTCATAGTGATCCTATGAACAAAAGATCTGAACCCTGTTCTGTTCTGTGCCATCCTCACACTTCCTGACATAAAAGAGCCCATTGCAGCAGTCACCGTGTCAATTCACCTGGTTAAGGGTCTTCCTTCTCCCTCACCGACCTTCCACCCTTGCCAACATCATGTCCCTCTCTAAGGACTAGCACCCCCCAGCAACATGTCCAAAGTATATGAGGCAAAGCCCCATCATTCTTGCCTCCAAAGAGCCCTCTGGCTGCACCATCTCCAAGACACAGCTGTTTGTACTCTTGGCCATCTACGGGATGTTCAATGCTCTTCTTCAACATCACAGCTCAAAGGCATCAATTCTTTTTCCGTCATCCTTATTCATTGTCCAAGTTTCAAATGCAGAGCTAGTAATCGGAAAGACTAAATCAGATGCATTGTACTCTTCAAACTGACATCAGTACTCCTCAATAATTTGGAATGGTCCCTAACTGCAGATTTTTCCCAGTGCAATGTCTCCTTATTCCCTGACTGCTGGTACCAAGGGTGTTCTGGATTTAAGCAAGATGGAGCTGTTGACAATTTCAATCTCCTCACCATCCATTGTGACACTGCCTATTGGTCCAGTAGTAAGAATCTTTGTTTTCTCGATATTGACATGCAATCCATACCGAAGGTTGCATTCCTTGATCTTCTGCAACAAGTGCTTCAAGTCCTCCTCATTTTTATCAAGTAAGGTGTGTCATCTGCATAACGCAGGTTATTGATGAGTCTCCGTCAAATCCTGATGCCACATTCCTCTTCAGAGTCCAGCTTCTCAAATAATTTAAATCAACATATAGATTTACAGATTGAATAAGTATGGAGAAAGAATACAACCCGGACACACTCCGTTCTCAATTCCAAACCATGCAGTGTTCCCCTGCTCCGTTGCACAACAGCCTCCTGCTCCAGGTATAGGTTCTGCTGAGCACAATCAAGTGCTCTAGGATTCCCAATTCTTCTCAATGTCAGCCACAACTTGTCTTGATGCACAGTCAAACCAATAAAGCACAATAGACATTCTTCTGGTAATTAACCCTAAGTCACTGGGACAGAAAGTGAGTTAATAGCGCGGAAACTCAACTATCTCAGGGAAAAAAAAGTTTTAGAACGAAACTATTTTAGTGCACTGTCGAGTCTGGCCAACACATAGCTAACCTTCCACTGTGTTTTCAGAGACAGTAAATCACATTGAAGTTGACGACTCCTCTTTCTTCTGCTCGTGGATTTGAACCACGTGCCTTGGGTTGACAGCACAATTCCTTACTAAATTGAGGTTTCCTTAAAGTCAAGGACTTGTATGAATCTACTTATCTGCCCTTGAATTTAGCTCAAGGTAGAGGAAATGCTTACGGATAGCAAGCTTATTGAAAGCCCGAAGGCACGCACGGTTCGAGACCACCAGCGGTCTTCGCGGGAGAAGGATGGGCAATCTCCTCATGTATGATTAACTGCCTCCAAAAGCCCGCCAATGGGACAGCTATGGGTCGGTCCCGACTCCAAGGTACACAACAACAGAGGAAGTGCTTGACAAATACTTGTTGTTGCTGGGTCCTGTCAAGTTGGAACCTGTAGCTGACCTACCAGAGGGTTTTCAGATACAATAAATGGCACTTTAGGAGGCTGCCCATCTTTCTCACAAGGAGCCCCAGGTGCATTAGAACTGCTTGCCTTTAATACTGCAGCGCAGTTTCTTACCACCAGGCCACCAGAACTCCCTTAATAAATGTTTAGTTGGTATATAAAAGAAGTTGTGGAGTTCTATATAAACTGTAGGATTTGGGGGGGGGGAATAAATGTTTAGTGGGTATATAAATGAAGTTGTGGAGTTCTATATAAACTGTAGGATTGGGGGGGGAATAAATGTTTAGTGGGTATATAAATGAAGTTGTGGAGTTCTATATAAACTGTAGGATTGGGGGGTGGCATTCCTTGCCTACTCTCTTCGACTTCCCTGTCTTTCTTTTTTCCACCCCACTAACGCCCCTCGACCAACTCTCCTTGAACTCTCCCTACCATCCCATTTCCTCCCCTCGCCCCGCCCCTGCGTTGGGTCGCGAAGGCAGAGACGAGATGGGCTTTACGGCAGCTGCGTTGCGGCGGGGCGGGGTGCCGGCGGCCGGCGTGCTTGGCGGCAGCGGTGGGAGGCAGGCCGGCTGATAGCAGACGGCCTCGCAGGCGGGTGGTGTCGGCGTAGCTGGCTGGTGAGGGCGGGAGTGAGTGAGTCACTGAGCGTGAGTGAGCGATAGAAGCAGCGAGCGAGCAGCCCGCGCTGTCCGCCTGCAGCCCTAGTCAGGCCCCGCTGCCCCTCCGCCCCGCGCCGAGGCCGGGCCGAGCCGAGCCGAGCTGGGTCGGGCCCGGGCCATGCTGCTCACGGTGTACTGTGTGCGGAGGGACCTCTCCGAGGTGACCTTTTCCCTCCAGGTCGACGCTGACTTCGAGCTGCACAACTTCCGCGCACTGTGCGAGCTCGAGTCCGGTATCCCCGCCGCTGAGAGCCAGGTACGTCGGGCGACGAGCGGCCCCCTTTTGGGACGCTTTCCCGGCTTAGGGGCCTCCAGCCCTTTTGCTTCTGATGGAGAATGGGGCCAGGGGTAGGAGGCGCTGGGATGGCCATTCCCAGCCCGCCCCCGCATCCTGGACGGAGTTGGAGTCCATAGCTGCCCCCAGACACCTGGAACCTGGGGTGGGGATGAGGGCAGGGCGCGGAGAACCGGGCTGCAGACGCACCCACTGCAGCGCGTGGGGCGCGTGGACTGGCCGAGGGCCCTCCTCTTCGTCTGATGGGGCGCCCCTTCTCATCGAGTTTGGGGTGTCGTCGTGGACTTGAGCAGCAGTACCGAGGCTACAAGGGTTCATGCAGCCTGCCTCCCCAACCAGAAATACCAGTTTGGATCCCTGTAGAAGATACATGTTCATCTGCTTTGCTTTTTTAGAGAGAGCGCCATCTGAAATAATTTAAATTAAAATTTACGTTTTTAAATGTGAATTTAGGGAAGGGGAAAGTTTGACCTATTTGAGGTCTTTGGAAAAATGTTCGTTTGCCTCCACCACATGTGTTTCTGGTTTTGTGCTTGTGTGTTTTTGTTGTTTTTTTAAAGATTAATGGTTCAATTCAGACTGGTTTCTCTCGTTTCTTTCCTGGTGGTAGGCCAGAATCCTCCTTTTAGGTCCGTTCAAAGCTCACTACATTATAAGACGATTTTTTGAAAATGGTACAGTATATTTTCCTTACTGTAATTCGGTGTGATTCCATTTCCCTACCCTGTTGGAAAGAAGTTAACCACCTCTTCTTACATTTTAAGTAGTTTATTAAAATAGAGGATTGATGACATTTCAAATTATCTGCGAGAATTCTGTGGTCTTCACACTAAAATATTTAAATCCAGGTCTGATAATTGGGCCTTGGGGGACAGAGTCTAATAATTTTTGAAAATTAACAAAGTCCTGCAAGGCCCCAAAATGTAAATCTTAATTTCCTACTGCAGTTATGGAATTGTTCCAGAAACCCTACTACAGCTTGTTCTGTCCTTTTCATGGTAAACAAATGTGACTAATTTATTTACAAGTATGATTCCTTTACACTGTGTGAACTTTAGAACTTTGGCATAAAGCTCAGTGCCAAGAGGGAATTTATTTCAGGGTGCAAAGTATCTTTCAGATACAGAGTTTGGCAAAAGCTACAAAGAAATGGACTTTTTTTTTTTTTTGCTACAATTTCTGTAAAATGTAGTTCCACAAAAACTCTGGAGAACTAGTCCTCCTGTGGAAAACTTGGAAAGGACAGTCAACTTAAATATTTGAAGGTGGCTTTTTCAGTAGTATTCTTTCCTCGGTTACGTTTTCCTGATTAGAATTACCAGCTAATCAGGGAAGAAAAAGTGAAAATGTAAATGGTTTTTGTCTTTAGGGCTTGGGAAGAGAGGAAGATTAAGTTTGTTTTCTGTCTTTTGAGATGATTGTATCTTTTTGTTCTTCAGGTAAATTAAAAAGTGTTAGATTGAAAGACAGTTGTATGGTCCAGACAAGCACTGTCCTCTGCCATTCTGAGTTTAGAAATATCTGATTAATTGAACAATTAGGCTGACTCCACAGTCTTTCATTATGTCAATGTTTTGGCATTTACTTCCTTCACTAGCCAGCCATACTAGCATATAGAACCCAGGGATCCTGCTGCTTGTGTTAAGCCTGTATTACATAGCCATAAACAGCTCCTGTTTTTCAAGTTTGTTCTGTTGGCTCAATAGGAACCTGACAACACAGTATCTATTTTAAGTCGGGTGGTCTGTAGTACTTCAATTACTTGCCCATCAGACAGGAACAGGATCCACCCTAGACACTTGAGTCATTTCCTTTCATCAAATCATAATAGTAAACATCATTATGGTTTTTACCCATAAATCTAGCAACTTTTCCTACTTGAGACCTTCCCTTTGCTGCTCTTAACTCCCAGGGTTTTCCCACTTTATTCATCTTCCTCCTGTGAGTCCCTTTACCTCCTCTCACTTATCTTCTACATTCTCTTCCTTTGCTTTCCTGTTTCTGACTCCCTTCTTTAATTCATCCTATGTATAGAATGTTCTTGACTATTCTGCCACTGTGTCCAGATCGCTGATCTGCTTTCTCTTTCTTATCAGGAAAATGTTTTGTGAACTTGAATCCTTGTTAGGAACTAATGTTGTGTGAGATTAGATAGATAGATAGATAGATAGATAGATAGATAGATAGATAGATAATATCTTCTACAAGTAATACACAGAATGGAGGGACAGTGCAAGAGATGAAGACCCTGGAGAAGATGGACTGACATAGTAACTGGGGTAATGGAGTAGGTGTGTTGGACACAGTGAGATTGGCTCAGGATAGGACAAGGTTCAGAGCTGTTGTGCATTGGGTAGCTATGAGATGCAGGTGATTGGACGGCAACATCATACATGGTTTATTTTGTGTACATGCGTTAATACTTTATGTACAGTATAAATAGACACAGAACTTAATGAAAGATGACCTGAAAGAAGTTCTTCCGTTTCCTCATACACACTTAAAGACTGCCTTCCTGCTTGCTCCCTCCACATTGGGAATCATTGGTTTAGAATTAAGTCTTTGATGTCAGCATCAAATGTGCATAACCATACACTGTAAAAGATGGTAATTTTTAAGAGCTTTAAACTGATTTTAGAAGTTACAGTACATTGTTGAGCATGGCAAGAAATTGAGAATAGAGCCCATCTCTGCTTTGACATGTACCTGAAGCTGGAAGTGTTCCATCTCTTAATACAAGTGTGGGCCTGGAAGGCAGTTCTGGCTATTAGGCACTTTAATGCAGCCTTGGCTGGGTGAACTTCAATTATCAAAACTTAGCTTCACTTTAAATTAGTGCCTTCATATTTTTGAAACATAGTATAATTTACCTCTGTAGGTGGCATGTGGGGAAACATGTGGAATATGTAAGGTCCCTCAGGTGAAAGACATATTACAGTCATATCCTGGAGATGCAGCTCTGCACACAGCATGACTAGTAGCTGGTAAAACACTATTTTAAACCATAGGAAACTGAAATTTTCGATTGGAGCTGTTTTGGGCATTTTTATTTTCACAAGTATTTTCAACAGTATTACTGTTGAGTCAGCTAGTGACATTATATATAACAGAATAAAACGTCACCAGGTCCTGCTCAGTTTCATGATCTTCATGATTACTGTTTGAGTATTTTGGCCATTAATCTATCCCATTGAGAGTATTCCCCTTTTTTCAGTGATCCTTTTCCATTGTAATGTCCTAGTGATTGGTTTTACATGATGAGAACTACATTATCGCTATAGAAAATTTGTAACAGGAAAGTATAAAGAACATCATAACTTCTTGCCTCATAACCCAGCATTAATGGCAGTTTACTTTTTAATGCACTTCTAAAGTTTGGTTTTTTTATGTAATGTATCTTTTAAAAACATAATTGGGCCTGAACTGTATAAATGGTGTCATATCTTAGTTTCTCAGTCAACACTAAATTGTCAGTATTTTCTCATAACATTTCAAATTCTTGAAATTTATAATTTTTATTCTTACAGCGTATATATGAACTGTGCATAGTGCCTATTGCTGGATATTTGAGTTGGGAAGAATTGGAAGCCAATGGTTATGTGACCAGCCATCTCTCCCATCTTCTAGTTCTCGGCTGGGTTAGAACCTGCATTGCAGTGGCCACACAATTCATGATTGTTTGGTTTATTAGGGAAGTAGCAAGTTATAATTCAGGATCAGAAACAACTAAGGATACAGTTCTTTGATAAGGACAACTTCTCAGCTGAGCCTGTAGCCACTCCTCTCTCAGACCTCCCAGCCTCACCTATGTTCTGTTTGGACAACTGTTTCAAACCTTTTTAGCTCTGCCAGTAAGTGCCCAGAGGTACCCCATTCCAACAGAAAGTCTGCCCAAAAGTTCTCAGTCTCACATTCTGAGGGTTGACAAACAGACTGCCTCACTCTGTGAGCCAGGAAGCCCCCATGGACTACTGTTGTTCTCTCTGCTACTGCTGCTGCTTATTTCTTACTGTTTCTTTTGATGTAGGAGCTCTGTCTCCTGGGTATAGAAGGTTCTCAGCTCAGGGACCTTGCTTCCAAAGGACACATTACACTCCTGATTCATCGTTCTTGGTTGTAGCAAGGTCTTTTGTCAGCTCTGGGATTTTTTAAGCCTAATGGGATGGTGAAAATGGCCAGTGCCCTAGTTAGGGTTCCATTCATCTTTTTTTTTTTTTTTCAACATCTCACCTCCACAGGAATTCCATTCACTTTGTTTGCATAATTAGCAAGCTGTCTCATCTGGTTGGTGGGCCACAAATACCTTATTTGCCAGGCCCATCCAATCATTTTGTAGGAATCACAAGACCGGACTGAAAAAGAAATATCAAAGTGGTTCACTGTGCTGCAAAGATATACTTTTTGAGAAAGTAATTTAATGGCCAAGGGTTGGAATATTACTTGTACTGGTTTATGTAGAGTTCTTGGCATGTGGTGTGTGCTCAGTTAATGGTAGGTCGGCACAGCCATGTGAGTGTAGTTCCCAAGGTTTAATTAGTCTATTTTAAAAAGTTGATTAAAATTAGAATTCACTCTCCAGGGTGCCCCTCTGGAGTAAGTACTAATTCTTGTGCCAGTACTGCAGATGGAGGCTTCCAACTGTATACATTGTACTTTTGCAAGGTCTTAACAGTGGCAGAACTTCACTTTTGAGGATTGTAGCCTTTGAGCTGAATAACATGAACAGTAGAAGGCATCATGTCTAAACCTGGAATGCCATCTCCAAAATTTAAATTGGAGAATCATCATCTAGATTTAGTCTAGAATTTAAACTGTACAGCCATTTGTCAGTCTGGAGATTTAAGCCTGTTTTACATTTAAAGAAAAAAAATTACTCTCCTGTTTATAATTTCAACTCAGCTTGTGTAAATCTCAATGATTCATGTCCTTGGACTGGAATGGGGTACACCTGCTGCATTATCAATGTGGAGAATGTTCCGCCTCATTTTCTAGTATTCCTAGACTGTTGGGGTAGATAGCAATATTCCACTTTTTAAATACGTGCTTGACTTAGTGGCTTACAGAATCTTATACTTTCATTGTTAAATCACACTGCCTGCCTTTCCCATTAGATTGTCTGGTGAATAACTATCGTAGTTAGATAGTAATGAAATGACAGCATGGTATATGTAAAAGGAGAATCCGAAGAGCAAGTAGTGTTCCTCTCTTTGTGTTCAGGGTAGAGGATGCACTGAGAAGTAGACATCACTAGTTGTTAACGAATGGCTTAATAACCCTCCTTGAAAGGCACTTGGCTAATTCATTAGGCCACTTTGGGGTTATGATTGAGGAAGTTGTATACGATATCTGTGAGGAGTGTGGGATTTAAAGTCAGGCAGAAGTGGTTTCAGCCCCAGCTGTCACATTAATATAATGTGGCTTCAGGTTATTTAACTCTTTGGATCTCTGTTCCCTGTCCATAAAGGGAGCAAATAATTGTGAGATTGCCCTACGAGGATGTGAAGATAAGTGGAAGTCTGTGTGAACCTAGTTTGATACTGGCTTTTAGTAGAAACTCACTGGTAGTCAGTCACTGCTTTAAGCTTACTTTCCGTATAGCATTTTCTACATGGAGACAATTCATTGATCTTAAGGAAAGGCCCATTCTAGCCCCCTTAGTTTGACTCTTCTTTGTAAATAAATAAGTTGGCCTTCTTTTATGAGTACAGTGTCCTAGGAGACTGATCATGTGACTTACATTGATATGTGATAGTTGAGTATCTGAACCTGGAAAACTAAAGCCCTGGGAGTAGTGATCAATAATGTAGTGACTTTACCATGTTGCTGCCACCTGCTAAGAGCCTGCTTACATGGTGTTTCTCCTTTTTATACCTCAACCTGTGGCACTTAATTTGTTTAGATTTATGTTTTTGCTTTGTTTTTTACCCTCTATGTACTCTTATCAAGTTGGACTGCATTGCTAAAAATCTGCAGGTGACTATGATACAGTTTTACTGTGAGATGAGTGTTTTAATAACAGTGGTGAATGGAATGATAGAGTGACAGTTATCACCGTTTAGTTTATTATTAAGTGCTTTACCCACGTTGCCACCAGAACTCCTTAGTTATGTTTACCATGCTGCCAAGTGGGTGCCAACTCATAGTCCCCCTCTGTCAGGTTTCTGAGGTTGTAAATCTTTGTGGAAGGAGACTACCCATCTTTCTCTTACAGAGCAGCTGGCGAATCCGACCTTTGGGTTAGCAGCCGATAACATTACATGCTACACCACCAGAACTCTTTACTTAGGTATCAGCCATTGCTTCGAAGGTGGACTTAACTTGTAGCTGACCCAACAGTGAGTTTTCAGAGGTTGTTAATCACACAGGAAGAGATTGCCCATCTTTCTCCCTTGGAGCAGCTAGTGGATTTGAACCAAATGCCTTTGGTTTGGCAGTGCAACCCCTTATCTACTAGGCTACTAGACCTGAGCCAACCTTACTGTCTCCAACATACCTACCACCATTACCCCAAGTCACTGAGTCAATCCAGCTCATCAGGAATCTTCCCCTCGCACTGTCCCTTCACCCTCCCAAGCATAATGTCCCTGTCCCTCCTTGCAGCATGCCCAAAGTATGTCAGATGGAGTTTCAGAAGTCTTGCCTCCAAGGAGCAGCCTGGTTTCACTGTCTCCAGAACGAACCTGTTCTCCTAGCAGTCCATGGTATATTTATTAGTCATCTCCAGCACCACAGGTCAAAGGCATCAGTTTTCCTTCTATCATCGCTAGTGTAGAACTCATAAAATATAATTGAACGTACAAGCTCAGCAAATCAATTTTTTTCCCTCTCCTCTTAGAAGGATTCCGTTTTGGAGGCAGCTAAATTTAGCTTCCTGTTACCTTTGTTCCTCAAGTCAACACAATTTCAAAACCACTTCTTTATCAGTTTAAATGCCGTATCTTCAGGTTCTTTGCCAGGCACCTTTCTACAAGAGCTCTGAGGAGACATTGTAGTATGATTGTGTAGCAGAAAGTGTTGGCACAACTGTAATGAGTACCTAACCCCAGCTTCTTGTTTGACAAATAGGAAATGTGAGGCCTGGCCCAGTTGAATGGCAGGTCTCAAGTCAGTGACTTATTGACAGAACCAGGACAGAACTTAGGTTCCTCAGCGTATAACCCAGTGTTCTGTAGACTGAATAGAAACTTGAAAAGAAGACTTTTTAAAGCATGAGTTCGGTTCCACATGCCCCACTGGAAGACATGAGGATTCAGGGTGCGCTATATGTACCTTGATAGTAAAGTCGTAGCATGTCTTGTGTGTGTCTTCTCTGTAATCCATTGTTTCATGGATTTTAGGCTGTAGATTTTTCTTCCACTTTTTACTGTGTTGTGAAAGCATTTTAATTAGGAATTCATCCTTGACCCTTTAAGCATTGTAAACTGGTTTTTTTCTGAGGTTTTTCGATTTATTTTTTCCTCATAAACATAAGAATGATAAAACTTTAGGAATGATAAAAAAGACTACAAGAAGGCTGTATTTGAAAAACCTTTTAGACCTGCTCATGTCCACATAGTTTAAAAGTTACACATTATTTACTAGTACTGTAGATACCCAGAGTAAATTGTTTCTATTTCCCTCCCTGCTCAAAATTAAGCCTAAAATTATATTCTTTTTTTTAAAAAATAAAATTATATTCTTAACCTGCATGGATTTGTTCATCTTTTAATTCAACAAATACTCAGGGCATTTATTATGTAGCACATCATGTTCTGGACACTTGAGAGGTGAAGAAACAAAAATCCTTACCCTCAGGGGAGCTCTGGTGGCCTAGTGGCAAGGAGCTGCAACTACAATCCCAGAGGTGCACGGTTCGAATCCACCAGATGCTCTGCCGGGGAAGGAGGGACAATCTCCTCCTGTACCAGTCAGATCTGATTTGATGGTACACTCACACAAAAATAATAAAATAAAATAAAAAAAAGTCCTTACCCTTGAGTATCATTTAATGTTACAGAAAGACAAAGAAGCAAATAAATATTTTAGGTGAGAAGAATAATTTTGAAGGCGAGCACTTTTGGTATGAGGTGAACTTAGAAAGGAAGGAGGCCAGTACAAAATGAACATAGGGACTAGGAAGGACTGAGTTTTATTGTAGGTGTGATGGGAAATCTTGGAAGGGCTTTGAATAGGCAGTAACAATATGTGATCTAAGGGAAAGACTGTGTCATCTTGGCTTCCTAGGCTGAGCCTATGCTGTGCCCCCCCAAAAAGAACATGGAAAAAATGAGAGTGAAGGACTGTGGTCTTTCTGCTTTATCCCAAGTTCTTTCACAGTGCTTTTTGCTGTTAATCAACTCTCTCTTGTTGCAGATTGTCTATGCTGAAAGACCTCTTACAGACAACCACAGATCACTGGCTTCTTATGGCTTGAAAGATGGTGACGTTGTGATTTTACGACAGAAGGAGAGTGCAGACCCTCGACCTCCAGTGCAGTTCCCAAGTAAGCGATCTCATGATGGTTCAGCATCCACTAACATAAGCATCAGGAGTCTGTCTTGTGGTTGGTGCACGCAGTTAAGCACTGAGCTATACATGGAAAGGCTGGTGGCTTCAAACCTACATAGAGTACCTTGAAAGACAGGCCTGACAGTCTGCTTCTACAAGGTCAAAGCAAATGTGAAGCACACTTCTACTATAAGTGTAATACATGGGTTGGCCATGACTTTTAATCAACTTGTTAGCAGCTGGTTAACTCAAGTTTTAGAAGGTAACATGAGTTCTGAGAATAATGCGGGTAAGACCTTTAAAACGTAACAAGTTTTTGTTATAGGTTAGCTTTTTTGTTGTTTTCAATGAAGATTATTTAGTGATCTTTATTGTTGGGAAAGAGAGTGTACTTATGTTTCTGATTCCTTGTCTGCCTTCTGCTACTTTATGTCTGGCCTTTGGGCCAGCCCTGGAGGGACTTGCAGCCACATTTCATGTCATCTCCTAACTGCTATAAGGGAAGAGGTCTTTCTTTATAGTATTTTTTCTTCTAAATCATTAATAAGTGAAACTCAAATTTGAAATGATGTCTCCAAACATATAAAGCTGATCAATAAAACACTGACATAAAAGCTTAATGCTTTGTTCATTGTACTGAGCTTTGTTAACAAATAAAGCTGCTGAACTACCAGTATTGGTATTTTCCTGACCAGCTATGTTAATCACACAATGCCTCCATATGGAATGGGTGTCTATAGTCTGTCCTTGAACCAGCGTGTGTACTTGCATGTGTGGCACTTTTATTTGAAGAGTAAGTTCATTAGCTTTCTTCAGGTGCTAAGAGGGATTCATGGACCGTAAAAAAGTGTGTAAATTCTTAATGTGGATCTGAAGAAATGGGTTGTTCGGTTCCTGTCCCATCCGTGTGTCGTCGTCGTCCCCCCCATTCTTTAAACAGTGTAAGTGTATGGTAACAGATGATAGGTGTCTAGGTGATGACAAACTTCAGTTTATAACACAATGCTTCCATTCAGCTTGAAACTGGAGCCGTAAGAGACCATGATGCACTGTCCTTACTAGATATGGATACATTAATCCCTTGGTGCTACTGTTGTTGAATGTTAGACAAAGTAGTAGCTAAAATATGCCATTATGTAGCTAACAAAATCTTCCATGATTTCATTTTGTGAGTGTCTTCGTTCTTGAGATTCACTGTTGGTTTGTATTGTCCAATTTGGACAAGAGAGCCAGTAGATAGGGTAGGGGAGAACTTGGTCTATAAAGCTAAACAAATTTTTAAAAATTATGCTGACTTTTCAGATAATGTGTGACCGATGAAGATACAGTTTCTCAAACTGCAGGGGTGGCATGCCCATTGACGTTTTATCGTTTGTCTGTAAACAGGACAGCCTAGGACAGCCCGTGTGACAGTTCTTTGGTCATGTAGGATCACCACAAGTTTGAACTGACTTAATGCATTCAATAGTAATAACAGCGTAGATTAACTGTCTCAGAGAGACCTTGCCATTCATTTCACCTTTCCACTGGTTAGGTAGCTTTTGCTATTTTGACGTTTAGTTGAAAAGAGTGACCGACCAACCCCATGCTATGAGGCAGCTGTTATGTTTGAGTTTCTGTTTGAAATTTGCAAGGCTGCAGAAGAGCCCAGGCTTGCTAAGGAGCACCCCAGCCATCCAATAGTTTGAAGTTGGAGAAATGTGGACTCACTCAGGCCCCACTCCTCCTCGTTCGGACCCTTCTTGTTTGCTTCCTTTCTCCCTTCATGAATAAAATTTTCTAAATTTGCAGATTTATTGAGATAAAAGTCATGTTGTACCGTTCAGCGATTTAAAGAGTACAATTCAGTGTGTCCTCACAGTCAATTTTTGAACATTTTCCTCACCCCAAAAGAGAATTTCTCACCTCTCAAACCCCTAATCCCATCGCCACTCTAGGAAACCACTAAATCTATTTTCCTTTTGCCAATTCTGAGTAATTTCTATAAATGAAATCATACAGTTCATGGTTCCTGGGTACTAACACTTAGTTGGTCTCAAAGTTTGAGGGGCATTTACCATCACACACTGCCTTTGAAATGGTGGTGGTGTTAGCTGCTATGGTCAGGTGGTGACTGTGCAAGAGATACACTGGCCAGAAATTGAAATTGGATCTCCCATGTGGAAGGCGAGAATTCTACCTCTGAACTACCAGTGACTTTTGTAATACAATGTTTTAAAGGGACAAAACTCCTTTTCTTTTACTATGGCAAAAGTTTTTTCATCACTCCTTATAGAAGCTTAATAACTTCTAAGCAACGAATTACCCTTCTTTGTGTCTCTCACTTCTTTCCTCTAAGGTCAGCCCCAACATGGTATAGAACCTGAGAGTTGTAGCATCTAATCTTGTTACAGTTTTTCATACAGTCAACACTGAGAGCTTTTGAAAGTCCCTTTTCCTGCATCTGTTTTTCTCTCCTGTAAAATGATGACATGCAGCTAGCTTTCCAGGGGCCTCGGAAGAGTTAGCATTAGTGCACAGATGAAAGCATAAGTTTAAAGCATTATTAGAACCTCACCAAACCAGTTCACACAACTTACACTTAGCCTCTGTGTTGTTACTTGGGGATATAGTATTCTGTAGCCAAAGTGTCAAAACATTCTCAAGAATCACATTGGGTTTAAGTTCATAAGTAAAGTTAAGAGTTTAAGTAAGTTCTAGAATATTTTCTAAGCTCAAAATTTGAGATTACTATACCTCTCCAAATTACTGAGGAGCAGTGATACTAGTCTGAGGGCTAAGGTACGCCTGATTCAGACCATGATCTTTTCAATCACTTACTATACTACTGCAAGCTGGGCAATGAGTATGACAGAAGACGGCTTAGTATCTTTGAATTGTGGTGATCTAGAAGAATACTGAATAGCCCATGGGCTGCCAAAAGAACAATAGCTCTATCTTGGAGAAGATGCAGCCAGAGTGCTCTTTGGAGGCAAGGATGATGAACCATCATCTCACATACTTTGGACACTTTGCTAGGAGAGGGATATCATGTTTGAAAAGGTGAAGGGATGGCAGAGGAGAGGAAGACCCTTAACCCGATTACTTAACAGTGACTGCAGCGGTGGGCCTGAGTTCCAGAGATTGAAGTTGGCTGTGTAAAGGATAGAGTTTAGATCTGTGATTAATAGGGTTGCTGTGAGTTGTGCTGAACTTCATGGCACCTAACAACAACAATACTGTTTAGGGAGTTCTCATCACTTAATGATAAGGAGTTGTGATGCAAAACCCAGAGGGATGCAGTTCAAATCCTCCAACTTCTCAACAGGAGTAAGAGGGGCAATTTTCTCCTGTGCGATTTACTGCTTCTGAAAACCCACTGGAGGGGGTAAGCTATGCGTCTGTTCTGGTTCAGTGGTACATAACAACAACAGTTGTTTTCCCATGCTTCCTTCTTTAGTATTCTAAGTCAGCATGAGAATGGTGGTAAGAAAGGCCAAGAGGTGAATGCTTGCTACTGTTTACCAACATAGAGTCTTATAGGAACAATTTTCCTGTTTCTTTTAAATGTTTGCTTTTGTGGAGTTAGTTGGTGTAAACTTTGAATTGATTTTCCCCAACAGATTTACCCCGAATAGACTTCAGTAGTATAGCTGTGCCCGGCACGTCAGGCTCCCGGCAGCGCCCGTCACCAGCAGCGCAACAGCCCCACTCATCTCCTGGAGAAATAGCTTCATCTCCTCAGGGCTTGGACAATCCAGCCTTGCTCCGAGACATGTTGCTGGCCAATCCCCATGAGCTGTCCTTACTGAAGGAACGCAATCCTCCCCTAGCAGATGCTCTGCTCAGTGGAGATCTTGGTAAGCTTATAAATGTGGAAAGCTGTCACACTGAACTGTGGGAAAGTAGTAATGTCACAGCAGATGTGGAGAGACTGGTACAGTCAGCCATTGTGTCACATTCTGAGAGATGTATTAATCTCTAATTAATGTCAAAGGCCAGGTTAACTGATGTTGACCATAGAGTTATAGAATTGTCACCCCTATCTAGCCATGCCCCTTCATCCTCTAATCTTCTGTAATTGTTTTAGTAGCACACAGCCCAGCCAATAATGACCTGGACAGTTCTGTTTGCTTCTCAGTTGAATCACACACCACTTAGACATTTGAAACCAGTTGAAATATTTCAGTTGCTGGGAACAGATCCAAGTATTACCAGCCTTCATGACAAAATATAATTTATTCTGCAACTCAGGTTTTGTGGTATTACAGAAACTGTACCAGTAATTTGTATCAAGAGATAGACGTATTTATGTAGTTCTTTCAATAAACAAACACAGGTTGGTTTGGTGTGGTTTTTTTTTATCTTTATGAATAAAAAGAGCCCTTGTGACATAGTATTTTGTGGTGGACTGCTAATTTAAAAGATTGATGGTTCTAATCCACCAGCTACCCCCTGGGAGAAAGATACAAAGTTTCTTCTTAAAAAGATTTTTCTTCTTGTAAGGATTTATTTTAGAGTACCCAAATGGAGTTTTGCTATGAATGGAATCAATACAGCATCAGTGAACTTGGTTTTAGATGTTTTTATGAATAAATTTTTTCTATAAATTACTCTTTAACTCTTGTTTATGTAGCTGTACTGATTAAATTTTACAGCATAATTGACATTTAATAACTCTTGAATTGCCCATTTTAGAAAATTTTAGTAGTATCTATGTATAGAGATAATATACAAATTCTCACTATAGAATCATCCCAATCAAAATGTAGAACATTTTTATCACTCCAGAAAGTTCCATTGCATTTCTTTGTCAAGTTCACTCGTCCTCATAGACCACCCCTATTCTGACAATCACTGTCGATTAGTTTTGCAATTTTTTAACTTCTATAAATGGCATCACTGTGTATTCTTATGTCATGCTTCTTTTAACTAAGGTGTTTTTTAGATTTTTTAGATTCATCTGTGCTTCATATGACAATTATCATGGTTTCTTTTAATTTCTTATGTCAGCCTATGTGGTTGCTCAAAAATGCATTGATGATACATTTAGTTTACACACTCAAATATATGACCTTTTTAAAAACATCAAAATAAAGATTCTTCTTTTAACATAGCTAGGAGTATTATCTGCTTACTAATTTTTCTGCTTAATTTCTGTCAGTAAAATATAGATAGGCTAACAGTCTTTTGCATTTCATTTACTTGGCTTGAGTGTATTATAAAGAAAGCTGGAAGAGAAAGGTTTTCTTGTTAGATAATAGGACAGTGAGAGCAGTGGTAAGGGGAGGAATAGGAAACATTGATTTACATCCCTTGCATCTCGACTCGTTGTTTGAGAACTTGTTTAATGTGTGAACATACTAATAAAGAATTAGAATACTGTAGTACTGGGGAAATGGTTAATCATAGGGTTGCACAATTTGATGAGGGTAGAGAGGAGTGTGGAAAGGAAATGGGGTAAATGCAGTGTAAAAAACAATGTATACAAACTTTTTTTTTTTTAAATTATTTTGACTGGTACAGGAGGAGATTGCCCCTCCTTCTCCAGCAAAGCATCTGGTGGATTTGAACCTCTTGGATTGCAGTGCAGCTTCTTGCCACTAGGCCACCAGAGCACCCTCAAACTTTTTAAGTAAACTAAAAATTTTATTTACATTAAAAAAAAAATACAGTAGTACTTAGACCCCATTCCCACCCCTTTATTTTCACAGAGAAATTTTCTAGGGTTTTGGTGGAGCAGCAGCAAGACCGAGCCCGGAGAGAGCAAGAAAGGATTCGTCTTTTTTCTTCTGACCCTTTTGATCTTGAAGCTCAGGCAAAAATAGAAGAAGATATAAGGTAAGGACACCTTCACCTGAAGAGCAAGCGTCTGGGTTTTCCAGGCTACGATGATAACCGCATCTTTAACATACTGCTTCCCTGCTTTGCAGTTGAGATAGTAATTTTACTCTTTCAGGTTATTCCTTCTTCCATTGTACTCACATTTCTATGAAAAATTACATAAGTGTAAGTACCTAGCTTAATGACTGTTCTTCCAGAATTTGAATAAGAAAAGAGAGAGCACCATTAAAGCAGCTTCAGGTAGAATGGAAGCCTGAATCTGTTGAGACCACTAAGCTGGCTTTGTAGAATGATTGCTTCCCTTAGAAAGATTTAATCAAGATAGTCTTGATTAAATTCAGGACTGAACATGGCTGAAAACCAACCATAATATTTTAGGTCCACATCTATGTCTCTTTTCCTTCTGCGATTCTTGTGCTGGCCCCATTGGAAAAAATGACTGCCAGGCCTTTTCAGCTCCAGTTTCTACAATGCCGTCCTCGTCACCTGGGGCTGCATTAAAATTGGTGGAGAAGCTATTTAAAGTTTCAAGTCATTAAGATGCCTGTGCTTTACCTCCAAATGTGATGAATCAGGGTCTCCAGGCTTGGGGCCTCAGCAAATAACATGGCACCGATGTCAGCCTTGTTTGCTCTATCAGTCTCAGACAAGATCGTGTTCAGTGACCCCCGTCTACCGCAGGTCCATTTTTGTTGCTAATTGTGAATAAATGTATAGGAAGATCATAACCATGACGGCACTAATTTAACTTAAGTAGCCTTTTAGGATCTGTGTCATCATCTATAATGAAATCTATCATATTCCATTATCTACTTGGGAAGCCAAATAGTCATTTTCCTCCTTATTTTTCTGATTGTTTTTAAAATTAGAGAAATGTAAATCATATACCAGAATTGACAGCCTTCAGCCACTCTCTCATGCTCCTGTTGATTAGATGTTTCCATTAATTGTATCAGGTGCACCTTTGAGAAACTAGGAACGTTTTTGTGCTCACTGAAGTGGATCTACATTATAGGTAGAAGGAAGAATGGACCTGTTTTTCAGTAATTGTTGTTGAGTGATAGTGGAAGCACTTGGGGTTGTGCTAGGGATAGTAACCAAACCAGAAGAACACAAGTGAAACGGAGCCTATCTATATTGCTCATATTTCTTCCCAGAAATGGAGAAAATAAATCCAAAACCTTTTGCCCCTTAAACTGTGTACCTACAGAGCCTAGTATAGTCTTAAACTGGTGTTCTTTCAGAGGATTTTTGCTGCAGCTTATTTTCAATGGGGTCAGTGCAAGATTGGAGCTACATAACTGATTTAGATTATTTCTGAATTTCAACCTGTGGCGTTGGAAGAAAGATGTGTAATTATATCACGTGGTCATCACATTTCTTTTTTGCTATACTCATGAGTGAAGACACAAAAACACATTTGCCCAACTAAATCCAGTGATTTCAACTATAACCTAAGAAATCTAATGCTTTGTTATAGAACAACTGGTAAAGCTGTCAGTTTAATGGAACTAGAATATTAACAGAAAGAGCAGGCCCTATAGTTGAGAACAGGATTTGTTAACTTTTCCCAGAGCGGGCCAGATTGTAAAGTTTTTATGCCTTGGGAGTCGTATGATTTTTTTTTTTTTTAGTCAGATGATCTCTTCTTGCTGGTGTTCAACTCTGCTGTTATGCAAAAGCAATTGTAAACATAAGTAAATAAATGAGTGCAACTGTGTTCTCATAAAATTTCATTTACACAAGTAATGTAGATGTCCTCTTTTGCAGTGTAGTATGTCCACACATTGAAGAGCTTTAGAGGTGTGTAGTGCTGGTTTTGTTACACTGCTAACCAAATGGTCGGTGGTTGGAATCCCATCAGCTGATCTGGAGAGAGGGGGACACTCTCCTTCTGTACAAATGGGGAAAATTTGGAAGCTGATGGAGAGTTGTAATGACAAGAGGTGTTCTGTTCTGTTGATCAGTTTTCAGGCTGATTGTCTGGCCCCTACTTCAGTTTCCATGTTCCACTTATTAGTGCTAATGGCACTTCATCTTTGGCAGTATTTGATAGTTAAAAGAAGCTTGCAAATGGAGTAAGCTAGAACACCTTTTTTAATATGCTTCTTCTGGTCATGTAAGAATTAGATTATGCTGAAGATACTATTTGACAGATGAACTATGATATGTATATGTGTTTTATATATGGATTGTATGTAAGGTGCTTTGCTAGGAATTATCTTCCTTTTACAGAGTAGAAAACCCAGTCTCGGAGATTAGGCAGCAAGTGCATTTGACATAAAAACTGTTAAATATTAATCATAAAGGCACAGCTGCTTTTGTTTATCTTGTGTTCCCCACACTGTTCTAAAAGTTTTACAAGTACTATCCTAGTACATTCACAGAAAAACCAGGTGTGATTGTGATAAAGTGAAGCACAAAGGTTACATGATTTGCCAAAAGTCATACATCCAGAAAGTGGAGTCAAGGTTCAAGTCTTAACTTTGACTTTTGCAAGGGCCCACGTACCTTATGGGTACATTAAGAACTCTCTTCACATTACAGTTTTATTGTGATTTCAGTAGACACAGGCAGTAACAGCATCTGTATGTTATGTTTGCAAACTATTCTTAACACACTGAACTTAGATAATGCACACAGATACCCCATAAGCCTGCAGTTGAAACTGGAGCCTACAAGGTACTTGAAATACCAGCAATATAATATCCATCATCACAGCAACAGTCAAGTATTCTCATAAGTGCAGGGTCATCTATGGTGGGAAGGTTTCAGTAGAACTTCCAGACTAAAACAGACTGAGTACAATGGCCTGTCGATATATTTCCAAAAAACTTGGCCTGTGGTAATAATAGAACATTGTCTAATGACACAGTGCTGCAATAGTGAGCTCAAATATTGTGAAAATAGTACAGGACCAGGTAACATTTCATCCTGTTGTACATAAGGTCGCTAGGAGTCAGAATTGATTCACAGTTACCTGACAACTACTATTGGAGCATTCATGAAATTCTCTAACATCCTACAGAATTAAAAGGGCTATGACTCTGACTTTCTAGAATTTTTCTTTTCCTGTTTCTGAGCTTAAAAAGTGAGTATAATTGTTTTACCTGAGGATAATTTATATGTCTTTAGACTCCACCCCCCCCAAACTATTTTTCTTGCTTCTGTCATCCTAGTGAATTGCTTGTTTTAGAATATAGCACCAGTTTCCATATCTAGGACTCAGCTACTGTAAATTAGACACAAAATATATATGGAAACATGTTTTAATGTGATTTTTTTCAAACCGTTTTCTTCATGAAAATAATGCTTTCAGGACTTTGTTTATTACAGGCAGCAGAATATTGAGGAAAACATGACCATAGCTATGGAAGAGGCTCCAGAAAGTTTTGGCCAAGTGGTGATGCTCTATATTAACTGCAAAGTGAATGGACATCCTGTGAAAGCCTTTGTTGACTCAGGTAACTTCTCTGTCTTCTGTGTCTCCATCCAGCATTCTGTTCCAACAAAGAAGGGGACGCTGGGTGCTCTTTAAGGATAGCAGTGGCCTGTTGCACTGCTCAAGGCCTCAGAATTATTGTTTCACTGGCCAGTCTTTTCTTGTTTGTAATAGACTTATATCTTTCATCATCGTGTTTGTGACCAGCTTTGTATTTTGTAATGTCCATCCTTTATCTTCTCAATTCACCTTATTTAGCATTGTGAATTTTTAGGATATCTTGATAAAAATTGGGAGTTAAAAGTTCTAGGGATAGGAATTCTAAGAAGGGACTGTATAGAGTAAAGCTCAGCCAAATCTTTCAGCTGCTGTGCGTGCTAGGAGCTGTAAGAAACACAATCATAGGTGGATGTGGCTCTTGCCCTTGAAGAGCTTAACATCCACGTAAGGAGAAAGCTCCCCCACTGGAGGATTTTGATAGTCCCTGCACTCACTGAACCCTCCTCTCTTATTGGCAGCTCTTTTTACTAAGAGCAGACAATGCAATGCTACATGAGGTGTGGTAGATGTAACTATGTGCTCTCGTGTCTGTTAATTCTGGGTACTTTATTTGAGACTGAAAGATAATAGTCTAGACTAAAAAAAAAAGTCTTGTTATTTCTACTCTTTTTTTCCCTCCACTTTTTCATCCTGTTAATGCTCCCGAAGAAGTAACTGTAATGAAGTGCTGTATGCAGAGCCTGGTGCAGAGTGCCTGGGGGCCAGATAGTCTAAGTCTTAGGACTTACTCATTCTTAGGGCAAATGAGAGAAAAGCACATGAGACCCTGATTCAGCATTCACTATTATTAAATCCTTACTTTGTGCCAGGCATCAGGCTAAGTGCTTAATGTGTATCATTTCTTTCTATTTCAATTAATCTTCAGAACATCTCGGTGAGATACATTTTATTTACAGATGAAGAAATTTAGGCGTAGAAAAATGTCTTTTCCAGGTATACAAAGTTTGACTGACAGACTTTGGATCCAGCCTCAGATCTGCTTGATGACAGAACTCGTAACTGTGGTGCAGAAAATTAGATGAGGTTTGGATAAATACTTTGATGGGCATGTTCAGGAGTGACTTTACAGAACAGAGAACTTTTCAGCTATCTCCATGGGTAGAGGCTCTGCAAAGGCAAGGGGCCTTTCCCTTCCTGGAGTCAGTTATATCAATAACTTACGTGGATTTGAGTTAGAGAAGGAGAGCAATGTAAATTACCTAAAAAGTAACATGAATAGAAAATATTGGAGTTAAAGAAGAGGAGAGCTCACAATGAAAAAGTGGTCAGTCAGGTCATTAACTGAGGCTTTAAATCATAGGTGAGGTTAGATAAAGAGCTGGGGAGGATGGTCTTGGCAGGAGAGAGATGGCTATGTCAGGGAGAAAGGAGCAGACTTCTGCTGAAGTAGGTTTAGAGTAGGTAGAATGCACAGCTAGAAATAAATAGTGGGGCCAGGAACAGGCGAGATCTGAAACTTTGACCATCACGTTTGAAACTAACTTTATTAAGAGTGGAAATCATTGAGGATTTTTTGAGCAGATATTAAAATAACTGGAAGAAAGTACCATTTTAGGAAGACCAAAGGCAGGGACAGATCTGGAGAGTTCTTTGCTCTTAAAAATCATTTTTTTTAATACCATGGAGTAGTTTGGAAGCTAGGAAAATAGTATCCTAAAAATTTAAAACAAAAGTAATTTGATAAAATGCTCAGTGAAAATTGCAGAATAGAAACTAGTGCTTAATTTAGTATCTTTCTAGAGACATGGGTTCTAGTAATCTAGTTGTAAGGATTTGTGCTCCCAACTCAAAGTCCAGTATCCCCTCAATGAAAGTCAAGTAGTCTCATGTGATTTAGTCACTGAAATCCTGCTCAAGAAGGATTAGTGTGATGATTCAGTTCCAACTTGATGGCACATAACAATGCCTAAAAATGTAGTAGTCAAGGGAACTCTGGTGGCCTAGTGACAAGAAGCTACACTGCAATCCCAGAGATAAGTGGTTCAAATCCACCAGATGCTCTGCTGGAGAAGGAGGGGCAATCTCCTCCTTACCAGTCAGATCCAATTTGATGGTACTCAAACAAACAAAAATAAAATTTAAAAAAAACTCAAAAACTTAGTGGTCATTGTGTTTTAGTGTGGTCTTTTCCAGATAGTGTCCTTCCTACTACTGGTAGAGTTTTACAGTATCATTTTTAAGTCACAGCAAAATCATCCATACCTCTATATTAAGTTTCTCCGCTAAATTTGAGATCCCAATATGGAATAGAAGATTGCATTAATTGGGGCAATAACCAGCTAAGCAAAAATAATTTCAAACTGAGAGAAGTCTTGGGTTATATTTGACTTTTAAATCTTACCATAAATTTTGGTTTTGTGATTTTCCTCTTCCTCTCTAGGTGCCCAAATGACTATTATGAGTCAAGCGTGTGCGGAAAGGTGTAATATAATGAGGCTGGTGGACCGTCGGTGGGCAGGAATTGCCAAAGGAGTGGGCACCCAGAAGATTATTGGGAGGGTACATCTAGGTGAGTGAAATGCACTGAGAGCTCATGTATTTTGGTAGGGAGAAGATTATCGGGAGGGTATATCTAGGTGAGTGAAATGCACTGAGAGCTCATGTATTTTGGTAGGGAGAAGATTATCGGGAGGGTATATCTAGGTGAGTGAAGTGCACTGGGAGCTCATGTATTTTGGTAGGGTAGTGGGAGTAGGAGTGCATGCATTTGACCCATTTAATCAAATTTCTTGAAATATATCCTATATCAGTCATACTTTTATGTATTTTAGCTAGTTACAAAAAACATTGGCCCATTATGCATGTCCATTTCTGCTCCTAGGGCATCAGTCCCTTTTCTTTTCTTCTTTATCTTTTTTTTTGGTTGTTGTGTACCATCTAATCAGATCCGACTGGGACAGGAGGAGATTGCCCCTCCTTCTCTAGCTGAGCATTTGGTGGATTCGAACTGCGCACCTTCAGGATTATAGCACAGCGTATGGGCACTAGGCCACCAGAGCTCCCTGGCATCAATCCCTTTTTCAGATGATTTCTTTTTTGTGGTATTTTGTTTGGTTTTGTCATTTGGTTTTTGTTATTCATCATACTTCTCTAATGGTATAACTCTCTTAAACTAATTGAGTGTGCTGTGTATTTTGTCCTATTGATGACATTTCTTCCAGTACCTCCTTTCTCCCCTAACCTAGGCTTGTGGTTCACAGCTGTCATTTAAAATCTCTCCTGACCAAGTCCTGAGGATTCCTTTCACCTTACTTTTTTTTTTTCTTTTTTCTGTAAATAGTGTATAAACTGGGTATTGGGAGGTGAGGGGGTTATCATATTTTCCCCCATTGAACATTTTCTTTTCTTCCCCACCCTCTTTTATTTTGGATTATTTTCCTTTTGTTTTGCTCATGTTACTTGAGCACATCCTCCAGTAACTTCCTGAAAAAGGTACATAGCAGTAAATTGAGAACTTACTACAGAACATCCTTTTCCCCTGTTATACCACCAGTCTGTAGGTTTGTGTTGGAAATCATTTTCCTTTTTTCAACTTGGCAGCATTCACAACAATGTCTGGTGCTGTAGAGAAGCTAGATCCCAGCCTGATTCTTGATCCTTTCTACTAAAAGTGTCTGGCAGCTTGCCTGGTCATTTTGTGACTCCAGTGTTTGGAAGTTTCATACTGACTCATTTCATTGACATCTCGTCTACTATCCTGTGTAACTGGTAAAACTAATACCCCTCATTTCTGGAGCCTCCTATTGAGTTGCTCTGATAATGACTACCTCCCCACTAGACTGTTATTTGGTAGAATAATCTCATAACCTGTATTTATCCTTTCATTTTTATTAGTTTTAGTTTCTTTAGATTTTGTTCTCTTTTGTGTTTCTTGCAAGCTTTCCTCAATTTTGTATTCCTACTTTTCTGTTACACATTTTATATATTTGTCTATTGTTTTAGATATTCTCCTGAAATTTCTGATGTCTTTGGTATTTGCTCATATTAAAGAGTACGATGACAGAAGACTTTTCACGTGGGTGGGCAGTGTGCCATTGTTGTCTTCACAGTAGGGTGATTTAGAGTTGGGAGAAAGAAAAAGACCTTAATGTCTGTACGCTTTCACTTAATTTCATTAAGGTTTTCTTTGGGTCTGTCTGTCCCCACAACCTCTTCCATTAAGAGTGTCTTTGAGAGTAAACCTCCAGTCTACTTCTGAGGTGAAGGGATCAGTCACTTAGCCAAGAAGAGCCAAGAAGGACTTTGAACCAGTCATCTGCTCCAGGCTCACCCCTTTAGAGATCTTTGATTGATTTGGGTTGCTTCCTGTCATCTGCTTTCTAGTTCCAAGATATTATTGCTATTGTCTTATTTTTGGGCTTCTGGATTATTCCCTTAAAACACCATTGTTGTCATTTCTTTGGGGTAAATGCAGATGGATGCCTATGTTTAGTCTTTCTTTTACTACTCACTATACAGCTCTGGTTCCTTAATGGGTAGAGTTGCTGTGCCAATCCAAAAGTAGGTGGTTCTGATACACCAGCTACTCTTCAGGAGAAAGATAGGCTATCTCTTCCTATATAATTTACAGCCTCTGAAAACCTGCTTATGATCATGTATGAATTCATTCCAGTTCAGTGGTGGTGAGTTGAGTTTGTTGAGTAGAGAATTTGAAGAAGCTCTGGTGACAATGGTTAATGAGTACGTGGTAGTCCCTCATAGGAGACACATGTGGCAGTTTTCTCTGGCCTACAGTCACCGTGAATCATAATGGACTCTGTAAGAGATCCAAAACACCCCTCATTACTGTCGAGTCAATCCATTTTCAAACCAGTTTTTAGGAGTCTGTAAATTACACAGGAAATTGCCCATCTTTCTCCCTCACAGCAACCAGCTAGGTGCTATCTTTTGTCAGCAGCACTGCTTTCTATGGCGATGGGTTGTGGTGGTGGTTGTTGCTAGGTACTGCTGAGTGAACTGCAGCTCATACGACCCTATAAACAACAGATCTGAACCTTGCCCTATCCTGTGCCATCCCCGTGGTCTCTCACGTGCCCAAGCCCATGCTTACAATAACAGGGTCGGTCCATCTCACTGTCTTTGAAAAGTATACATATAAGAAACAAAAGTACAAGATCCTTCTGGTATAAAGCAAACACTGTTAGTGTGTGAGCATCTCTCTCCTTCTTGTCTTTACACCTGTGTCTGTTTTCATGTAAAAAGTGATCATTTGATAGATTTTTAAACTCAAGGTAAAGGTAGCAGTCACATGTTTCTCATGTCTCAGTAACTTTAATAAATATTATTTTAGCAAATGTGTTTAACAGTCAACTTTTGAGAATATTATTTTCACCAGTATGTTGTTATAACATGTCAGTGAGTGCATTTCTGTATACATTTTTGCTTAGTTGAGATTCCTTTACAAGTTAAATTCATGAGTAAAAAGTTGGGATGCTGTAATAAAAAAACCAAACCCACTGCCATTGAGTCAGTGCTGATTGGTGACAGACTTTCATTCACCCACTCCACCCCCAGTCGGATTTCTGAGGTTATGAATCGTAATGAGAGGTCTTTGCCCATCTTTCTCTTATGGAGCAGATAGTGAATTTGAACCGCTGACCTTTCTATGCCACCAGGGTTCCTTATGATTGTTTTAAGGCTTTTTCTCTGACTGACTTGCACCAGTTATTTCCAGTATTCAGTGGCTGTTTGTCTTATGGCATCCTTATTTTATCAGAGTATTGCTAGTCTTCCCTTCTTTAATTTTAAGTTCAAAAGTCAATTCTTATTGTTTTAAGTTACTTGTATTGTAAATGATTGTGGTGTTTTTTTTTCTATAATTATATTTTATTAATTTTCATAAACATTTACAGAGATTTTGGGCTTCCACTCATTCATTGTTGCACTAATGATTGTGTTTTTTGTACCTATTTCCCTTTATTCTCTTAAAATTTTTTGGTAATTTATTTGTCTTATTTATTAAGGCCTTTGTGCTTTTTCTGTTGATTATATAGTTTTGGGGAGGGTGAAACCAAGTTTCTCCTTGGAGGGTAGGATTTTGAACCTCTATCTCACGTATTTTGGGCACATGACCAGGAGAGACCTGTCCTTGGAGAAAGACATCATGCTTGGAAGGATGGAGAGACAGTGCGAGAGGAAGACCCTGCAAGAGATGGGTTAATAACAGTGGGCAGTGGGGGTTGGTGTGTCAGATTCAGTGAGACTGACTCAGGACAGGGCAGGATTCAGAGCTGCTGTACATGGGTCACTAAGGGTCACAGGCAACTTGTTGGCGCATAACAACAACAATTATATAATAAAAATTAAAAAATGATCATTTCATTACCTTTAATATATTTTCAGAATAGCACTTTGAGCACTGTACTACAAACTTGTTGCTTCAGAGACTGATTTCTCATACTTCTTGTAAAGTGGCAAGTTAACTACAGCTCATAACAACACTGTGGACAACAAAATCTAAACTTTGCCCATTCCTGTACCACCTCAAAATCTCTGCTAAGTTCAAGCACATTATTACACTAGGTCTATACGTTCCCTTGAAAGTCTTTCTCTTTTCCACCTTTCTCAGCATGATGTCTTTTTTCCAAGGACTGGCCTCTCTTGACAACACACCCAAAGTATGTGCCAGGCAATTTGACTGCCCTTGCCTCTAAGGTTGCACTTCTTCCAACACAGACTTGTACACCAAAAGCCAGAGACCTTGAGTCTTCTTACTCACTGTCCAGCTTTGAAGTGGAAGTGAAAATACCTTGACTTAGATCAGGTACTGACATCCTTGTTCATAGCACTTTGGAGAAGTCCTTAACAGCACATTTTCCCAATACACTTGTTTTTAAATGCAAACCCTTGTACGTTCCAGTGCAAGTCACTTGATTTCTTGACTGCTGCTACCGTGGATATTGGTTATGGATCCCAGTAAAATTAAAACCCTGGCAACTTCAGTCTTTATCTGTCATGATATTGTCAGTTGAACCAGTAGTGAGGATTTTTATATTCTTGATTTTGAGAGGTATTTCATATTGAAGGCTATATTGTAGTCTTGGATTTTCTACAAGCAAAATTGTGTCATTTGCATAACACAGGTTGTTGTTGAGTATTCTTCAATCCTGATGCCACAATCTTAGTCATATGGTCCAGCTTCTCAAGTTACTTGATTAACATACATACTGAATTGGTACAGAGGAGAGTTAACACCCCTACTACACACCTTTCCTGATTTTAAACCATGCAGTGCTCTCTTTTTCTGTTTGGGCAACTGCTTCTTGGTTATGTGTAGGTTTCACTTGAGCTCATTTAAGTATTCTGAGATTCGCAGTTCTTCTCAGTGGTAGCTGTAATTTCTTAGATCCATACACAGTCAGATAGATGCCTTTGCATGGTCTAGTTGTTAAGTGCAATGGAGTCGAGTATGACTAATAGCGACCCTATGAAAAAAAATCTGGACCCTGTTCTTTAACTATCATCGTTTCTCTTATGTCCATAGAGTTCCAAAGGCATGTTGTTTAGGAA